ATTGCGATGTTATTCAAGACGATTTATTTGATGATAAGTATATAATCGTGTCCAGAGATTTGCCTGGCAGAAAGCGAATTTTCAATATCAACATAATAACCCAACATAAGACTTTTAAAAAAGCCATCGCAATAATAAAATAAAGAAAGATTTGTTAATAACGTTTCGTCTTTAACTTAAGACATCTTCAGTTTATTTGATATAAATTATGCACATGAGGTTTTAAATACAAGCATATATAACAGGGTGTTAAATTACATGTGAGGGGAGTAGGGAGTTTAGATGACGGAATTAAGTGAGAATGGCGGTATATTAAAGAAGGTGAAGGGGGTTGAGTTGCCTTTGGTGTTAAGAGAGGGTTTAAGTTTGGATATTAAAAGGCTTTGATGAATCATAAGGTCGTAATTGTCGGAGAAGGAAGAGAGAATTGAGAAGTCATTAAAATTGGCAAAGTGAGATGTATTTCTTACATGGGAAAGAACTGCAGATGGTGGGGAACATAAGGAAGGTTTCCATGTTAAGGGAGAGATTCCCAAGTGTTCCGATTTTCTGGTGTGTAAATGACACGTGGTTTGACCTACATACGATGCAGAGCAGCATCGACACTTAAATGAGTATAAAACACCAGATCTCAGGAGCTTGGGAACCCTATCTTTAAAAGGAAAGAAAGAGGAGAGACTCCTTGAAGAACGAAAAGCAAAACAAAACTTGGCATGAGGAAAGGCACCCTTGCAGAGTCGAGTGATTTGAGTGCGAATCTGAAGACTGTGTAGGCCAGTGAAAGGGAGACAGAAGTAGATGATTTTCTTAGGAGCAGTGAATAGGATCTTTAGGTTCAAATTGTGTTGAGAAAGCGGTGAAGATGATTGTCAAATATATATGAGTTGAAGTTGTTGAATGTGACAATTTTCTGTAGTTCGGTATGAAAGTGTTCATAGCTGGAACAGAGGTTGAAAATTCAAGTAAAAGAACAGATTAAGGAGCGTTTGTATTGAATGGAAATGAAACTATGGTGGTGAAGAGAGAGAAAAGTGAAAATGGGTTTGATACACGGAGGTGGAAAGCTTGCCGTTTGAGTGAGTTATTTTTACGTCAAAAAGAAGGTGGTGTTCTCTTTTTTTCCAGTTCACATGTAAAGGAGATGTTAGGATGTTGGTGGTTGAGATAGGTAAGGAAAAGAGGTATGTGATCCAATGATCGGAAGGGTAGAATGCAATCATCAACGTAACATTGATAAAGAAGGGGTTTGAAAGTGGAGGGATGGTTGTGAAGCCATGAATTCTCGTTTAAGGACATAAATATGCTAGCAAATAGAGGGCCTTGGGGGCTGCCCATAGTCACACCATCAATCTGTTGATAAACTTGACCATTAAAGATGAAATCACAGTTTTTGATGGCGATGGAGAGAAGTTGAGTGAATTGTGAACGGTCAAGGCCTTGAAAGGTCGTGTTATTGGAAAAGAGGTGATTAGTTATTATAGCGATTGTTTCATCAACTGGGATGTTGGTAAACAATGATTTAACATCAAAGCTCGCCATCACAACGTTATTGGCGTTAATATGACTGTGTAAAAGATCTTGGACAAAAGAGAAAGAGTCCTTGATACCATGGGAGCTGGCGGAGATTGGTGTAAGGAAAGGAATAAAGAATTAGGCTAGCTTGTTGGAGTAGTAGTCAATACAAGATAAGATTGGTCTTAGAGGGATTGAGGATTTATGAATTTTAGGGAGTCCATATAGTATGCCGAAACGTGTACCAGTGGGATAAAGTTCGTTGTATGTTTTTTCATTAATGCATTTTTCTGTCTTTAGTTTTCTCAGGAACGCCTTTACTTGACTCTTGCGTTTCAGTGTAATTTTGATGGCATCATCATGTAGAAGTTCGAATTTCGATGTGTCCGCTAGAATTTCCATCATCTTTTTGGGGTAGTCGTGTTTATTCAGAAAAACAACTCTGTTGCCTTTATCCGGTTACAGAATGACGATGTTGTTGTCATTTCTCAAGTCATTTAAAGCGTTTAGTTCATTATCCATGTATGAGGCATTTGGTCGGCTGTAACTGCGAAAACCCAAGTAAGATATGTCCTTTAGTTTAGCTTTAATTGAGTCAGTGAAAAAGCCAGAGGGTGTGTAACGGGTTCTTTTTGAAGGCGATTGTAAAACTTCTCAAATGGTGTGAGGAAAGTGCACGAGTTCAGTTCGGCAGATAGAACAGCAAAGTTGAGGCCCTTCGAAAGGATTACTTTTTCCTTTTGGGTGATGAAACAATTTGAGAAATTGAAAACCACGTCGTCAGGGTTGATTGAGTTTGTGTTAATCTGTCCAGTGCTAAGGCGAAATATCTTGCAGTCTTGTGCGCGTTGTTGACGGCTTAATTTTTTTGAGTTCTCACGATCTGAAACATGTTTTACGTGAATGAAGTCAAGGTTTGAAACCAAAGATGCCAGTCTGGAATGTGCGGTCGTAGCTTGTGATGATAGTACTCGTATCCTAGCTTTGTGTTTATTTCTTCTCACCTTTCCTCATAGCAACGTTTGCGTTGTTTTTCGTTCTTCCAGGAGTCTCTCCTCTTCCTTTCCTTTTAAAGATAGGGTTCCCAATCTCCTGAGATCTGGTGTTGTATACTCATTTAAGTGTCGTCAAACCACGTGTCATTTACACACCAGAAAATCGGAACACTTGGGAATCTCTCCCTTAACATGGAAACCTTCCTTATGTCCACCACCATCTGCAGTTCTTTCCCATATGAGAAATGCATCTTACTCTGCCGATTTTAATGATTTCTCAATTCTCTCTTCCTCCTCCGACAATTATGACCTTATGATTCATGAAAGCCTTTTTATATCCAAACTTAAACCCTCTCTTAACACCAAAGGCAACTCAATCCCCCTTCACCTTCTTTAAAATAGCGCCATTTTCACTTAATCTGTCATCTAAATTTCCTACGCCCCTCACATGTAATTTAACACCCTGTAATATATGTTTGTATTTAAATCCTCATGTTTATAATTTATCTCAAATAAACTGAAGATGTTATAGGTTAAAGACGAAACGTTTTTAATAAATATTTCTTTATTTTATTATTTTGATGGCTTTTTTAAAAGTCTTATGTTGGGCTATTATGTTCATATTGAAAAGCATATAATCGCTTCTATTTGCCATAATTGATTGAAGCTTTGCTGAACTCCGGCTATCCGGGCACATGTGACCAGCCCTTTAACTTCTCTTGCTTTAAATCATTCCTGCAGAAGTCCTTTGAAATCCAAGAGTCGCAGAAGTATCAAGTTCGTTATGAGCTTTTGCGCCTTTTGCATTTCATTTTGGGTTTATACATGCAGAATTAGTTGAAGCAAAAACGAGTTAAAGAACTTAAAAGTACTATCTTGCACTGAATTTCATCTTAAATGTATTATGCAAAATCTTCATAGAATCAAAGCGACATTAGATAGGTTATAGCAGCTTCAAAACGTAGTAATTTTTCCATAAGATGAACAAACTCCATAAAATAGACAAACTAACTTGTAAATAAATTAACTAGGCGGAACAAATGGTTATTGCACATTAAATTATGCTATGCAGATTTTATTTTCATCCATGCACATTATTTACGTGAATTTCATGTTTTGGGATACATACTTAAAGATATATATGCGGTATTTTTGGATAAAAAAGCTTTATGTTACCCATGAGAAATATTTTTCAGAGAATTGCTCTCCCATTGTTGTTATTCATCCCATCAGGTGTTTCTATTAAAACATTTGTTAATATTTTCTGTCGTGGTTTGTGTAAATTTCTGTATTAGTTGAATCATAAATGTGGTTTTTCTCTCTACACTGACACCAAAGTAAACTTCAAATGTACCAAACACATTTGTACATATTTACTAAAAAAACTGTCAAAGTTTTTCATGGACAAGAGTGCAGTTTAATGAAGTGTTTTAGCTATGTGAGAATCTGTAACTTTCCTTTAATAATGAATGGCCTATTTTAATGTTTGTGAAAACTATGGAATAAAGAATTTTATGAACGTCTAGATTTGGGTGTAGTTTGGACAAATGTCAGTTTTTGTAAACTTAGCCTATTTTGTACTCAAATTAAATCTTCGTATTATCGCTCCTTTGGGTCATAGCAAACTGATTGTCAATGTTTATATACTCGACATAACAGATTTACAGATAAACATTGGAGTATTCGTGCAATTTCCTTTTTCTTTTATGTTAGTTCCATACTTCTGTATACGTCATACTACTTTCCACTTCATTTTATTTAGAAACAAATCTCGTGTACATGTCAAATTGAATTTTGAAAGGACATACCTCACTACTTTGAATGTGAAAGGTTTTGGAAAGCTGATGTCCAGTAGAATATTGCATTAAAATTATGATGCACACATGGACAACACGCGCAACAGTAATGTGAAAGAATGTAAGCGCAAGAAATAAAGCTTTGTGCAATTTTTATGCCATGTATTTGATGTTCTTGGATTTTCTTTGCATGTTTGATAGCGTTTTTTAAGTTTATTATTCCACCCTTTAAAGACTGGTCTTTTATTTGCAATCTTATACAATTACAATAGCAAACACATGCCATTAATTGTTAGCAGCAGCAGTACAAGTCAATGTAACGTAGCACTATTCTCCACAATCTCCCCCCAACAAAGAGTTCGACATATTAAACTTATCTAATACAAATTTTATTACTCATATTTCAGGCTACTATTTCACTTAGTTAGATGCAAAATATGCGTTAATTTTGCAGTTTTTTTGCTTTTGCTCTTTGTTTAAACAAGTTGCCAATAACGTGTTAAATTATTGTGAAACAAAATAACAACTTACGTACAAGCTAACAACAATATTACAAAAAACAAGTTCACAATGTCACTTGATCTGACATGTGTCATACCTACTTCATTATGCATGCAATGCTATGTTGTTTATGTTTTCGCGTGATGTTCATGTCTTAACACTCCCTTTCGAAAAATATAAACTAATCTATATTTCTTTAAATGTTTGTTACTCCCATATTAGATCTCATTCGTTGAAATACAGTTTTTCCTAATGGTTTCGTTAACATATCAGCAACCATTTGTTGTGACGTACAATACTCAAGAGCAATTTCTTTCTTCAGTACATTGTCGCGAATGAAATGATATTTTATGCCAATGTGTTTCGTTCTTGGATGGTATTTCTGATTATTCGACAAACTTATTGCTCCTTGATTATCCTCTTTTATAGTTGGTTCCTTTTGAGTGAAGCATAAATCATGTAGTAATCCTCTTAACCATATTGCTTCTTGACATGCTTGTGATGCTGCAACATACTCACCTTCAGTAGATGAGAGAGCTACAATGCTTTGCTTTTTGCTTGTCCAACTTACCAATCCACCACAAATCATGAATATGTATCCTGAATGTGATTTTCGATTATTTGGATCACATCCCCAATCAGCATCAACAAATCTACTTAATTTAACTTCGGATTCCTTTTTTCCATGAAAGCAAATGCCGTGGTTAATCGTACCTTTAATGTAACGTAAAATACGTTTGGCAGCATTCCAATGGCTTTGGCTAGGGTTAGCACAGAACTGATTAACTGTTGAAAGTTCTTGTGGCAGGTCTGGTCTTGTCGCTGTAACTGCATACGTTAATGCACCAATTAATGCTTGATATTTGGTTATGTTCATTGGCTCTCCTTCATTATTCAACAACTTGGTTCCTAGCTCAAGGGGAGTTGCAACAGGTTTGCAGTCTTGCATTCCAAATCTCATCAATAAAGTCGTCAAATACTTTGATTGAAGAAGTCGCATTTGTTTCTTTTCCCTGTCTCGTTGAATTTAATGCCAAGACAGAAATGAATTTCACCTAGATCTTTCATTTCAAAACGTTTCTCTAAAATACCTTTCTCCTCTGCTAGCATTTTCTTGTTGTTACTTGCCAGAATCAAATCATCGACGTATAACGCTAAAAGCATGATATTATCTCCCTTTCGTTTAATGTACATGCACGGATCAAAATTGGATTGAACGTAACCGGATTTCTTTTAGAACTGATCAATGGTAGCGAACCAGCATCTTGAAGATTGCTTCAAGCCATATATGCTTTTGTTTAATTTACAGACCTTCTGTTCCTGTCCCTTTTTCTCATATCCTTCAGGTTGCTTCATGTATATTTCCTCTTTAAGTTCGCCGTTCAGAAATGCCGTTGAAACATCCCTTTGGTGTACGTCCAAATGTAACTGATTAGCAATTGCCAAGAGAGCGAATAAATGTATATTTTGCTACTGGAGAAAATGTTTCTTCATAATCCAAACCATATTCTTGTAAGTATCCTTTAGCAACTAACCGAGCTTTATGCCGTTAAATTGAACCGTCTGCTTTGTATTTCACTTTGAATATCCATCGAGAATCTATGGCTTTACGATCTTTAGGTAAATCAACCAACGTCCAAGTTTTGTTTTTTATGTGGGAAGAATATTCACTGTCCATTGCTTGTTTCCATTTCGCCTTATCTGGACTATGAAAAGCTTCATTAATATTGAGTGGTTTATCGTGACGGATAGATTCATCATCAATGCTGGCGACATTGTTCTGCCACCAATTACCTGTGATCACCACACCATGTCTATCAGGAGATTTGTGTATTCGTGCTGATCGTCGTGGTTGTTGTTGTTCATCTGTCATACTGTTGTTGGAACTATCTTCCATTTCTTCATTGACTTCATGTTCTTCATTGTCTTCCAATAGTTCATCATTCTATTTTTCGGTCACAGTATCTTTATCATATCCATGTATTTCTTTAGTAGATTTCTTTCGTCGATCAAATGACCTTTCGTCAAATAACACGTCTCTTGATATGTGAATTTTACCTGTTGAAGCGTCGTAGAGTCGATAACCTTTACTTGTGAGGCTGTACCCAACAAATGTGCATTTCTTGGTTTAGGAGTCCCATTTCTTCCTTTTTTCCTTAGGAACGTGCATGTAAGCTGTGCAACCAAAAATTCTCAGATGTGAAACATCAGGTTTCTTAGAATGGAAACATTCGTAAGGTGTAACTCCGTTCACGGAAACAGTAGGACTTCGATTTCTTAAGATGATTGCAGTATGAACTGCTTCAGCCCAGAATTTCTTTTGTAGTTTTGCGTTGTTCAGCATAGATCGTGCCGCTTCTTGAATGATTCTGTTCATCCTTTCAGAAACTCCGTTCTGCTGTGGCATTCTTCGAACACTAAACTGATGCTTAATTCCCTTATCCTTTAGATATTTTTCAAACATCTGACAAGTGTACCCACCACCGTTATCTGATCGAAGTACTTTAATTTTCTTGTTAGTGAGATAAGTCACCATTCCTTCAAACTCTTTAAATTTCTCAAAAGCTTCATCCTTACTCTTCATAAAGTAGACTGTTCTGTACCTTGATTTATCATTAATAAATGTTATGAAATAGTTATTTCTACCAAGACTTGTCTCTTCCATCGGTCCACAAACATCGCTATGGACAAGATCAAGTACATCTTTAGCACGCGTTGCAGGTTCTCGAGGAAAGATTGCTCGTATCTGCTTTCCTTGTGCACATCCTTCACAAACTTCAAAGTGATCATCTGTTTGAAAATTAAGAACTTCAACCAATTTTTGATCTCGAAGTAGACGTAAATTCTTCAGGCTTAGATGGCCATACCGTTGATGCCATATTTCTTCGCTAGTATCACTTGTAGAAACATTCGCATGCTTCGAATCATCTTGTTCTTCTTTAATATCAAGAACATACAGGTTATTCATCATTCTTCCTGATCGAGATATAGATCCATTTTGATCAAGTATCAAGGAAGTGTGTTGATTAAATTCAACCGAGTATCCTAGTTTTGCCGTAGCACTAACTGTGAAGAGATTTTTCCTAAATCTGGAACATATAGAACGTAAACCAATCTTCTTGGTTCATACTTCTTCTTACACTTAATCTCAATGTGTACATTTCCTTTTCCCAGTGCTTGAACTATTCTGTCATCTCCTAGCTTAACCTTTTCAGGGGATTTGAATGGGACGAAATCAACCATGATGTCCTTATTATATGACATATGAGATGATGCACCTGAGTCAATGTACCATGCAGATTCTTTGCTATCTGTAAACAATGATGAATTCTGAATTGTGGCTCCGTAGGATGCTTTTTCCCTTTTATTTCTATTGCACTTTGCTGATTCTGCTCGGGTTTGCGACATTCTCTAGCCCAATGCCCAGGTAACCCGCAGTTGTGGCATTTACCTTTTCTTTTGAATTTGGTATTCTTTATTTTGTCGTTTTTGGACTTTTGACATAGTAGTGCTTTCTGATCAATATCCTTACTTTCGTTGGATTCTTTACGCTTCTGTTCTTCAGGAAGAAGTATAGCAGTAAGGAATTTTAATAATAAGTCTTCTGCTCTATACTCCAATGCTGTTATTAAGCCACTGTACAAATCAGGTAAACTACGAAGGAGTGTCGTCACTTGATATTCCTCAGAAACAGACGCACCCAATGCTTCTAATTGACTTGCAATATCCTTCATCTTGTTGAGATGTTCGGTCGTGGAATCATTAGGACCCATACTTGTAGTAAAATATTTCTTTTGCAAGAATAACTTATTGGGGCAAAGATTTGACTTCATAAAGACTTTCTAATTTCTCCCAAGCATCTTTAGCAGTACGCGCTGATCGAACGAGAGATAGCTGTTCATCGCCTTCCTTTCCCGCCTTTGATATTGTCGACGTTGAGTATCAGTAGTTCCTTCACTATTAGGTTCTACCTCATCGTCGATAACTATTTGCCAGAGATCCTTCTCTTCAAGTATCATCTGCATGTTAAACTTCCAAAGGTGAAAGTTTTGGCCATTGAACTTTTCAGTCTGTGTAAATGCTTCGTCATTTCCCAAAGTCGCCATATTCAATATTTCGCACTTATGTAAGTTATATTCTCATGAAATCGCGATATCTCATATACTTTCCGTATTTGCCGTCATGAACAGAAACTCAAACGCTCCTGGGCCCATAACCTGTTAAATTATTCGAGGTTCGGCAATAACATTTGGATAGTACGTGAAATATTATGATTCTACTGTGGAACAAAATAGCAACTTACGTACAAGCTAACAACGATATTACAAAAAACAAGTTCACAATGTCACTTGATCTGACATGTGTCATACCTACTCATTATGCATGAAAGGCTATGTTGTTTATGTTTTTCGCGTGATGTTCATATCTTAACAAAAGGTAGGAATGATATATGAAAATTCATAATATAAACTTTATTTTGAGTGATTGTTTTTGGAGAACAGACGTGATTAACGTCCGTCATTTTTGACTTTTAATGTGATAGCGGCGAGATTTTTATTAGGAAATTACACAATGCGCACGGTTATAGGCTGGGGAATTGGGCCGTAGTTCTGAATGCCCAGGTTCAGTTCACGAGTTAGATCTAAATTCAAGTTGTCGAAAGAGAAAGCTATCCTTCGATGCCAATTTCCATGTGATTTGAGCCAATTTAGGCTCATCAAAATGCAATTCAATCTACCTCAATGTATTCTCAATGAACTATTGATATCCTGTATTACTATGGAATAACCTAAGTTGGAAACGACGAACAACGGCAAGTTGAAAGCAAAGGGCAATCACCAAGGTTATATTGAACTATTTTAGCTACGAATAGTTTTTTACATGTGATGTGTTTATTTCTCTATAGTCATTGTTTATTCTGTTGATTCATTGATTGGTTGTTTTAATAAGCAATGTTTTTTTTTTTTCAAAATATGTTTACTCTCCATACAACGATGGATTGTGCTGTAAAGTTGATTTGCAAATGAATTTGCAAGCATGTGAAAAATTAGCAAGTGTGTTCAATAAAATTCTTAATAAAGATGAATGTGAAGATTTGTAGGAAGTTTTGTTTTCATCTAATGAAAACGTGTTATTTTGGAACATGATTCAGGAAAATTAGTTTTAAAACAAAATCATCTCGTACTGTTGATGAAAGAGTATCTGTTTATGTTATGATAATGATGAGTGGGATGAATGTTTCAAACCCAGTGATCTAAATGAAATTCCAATTATTAATTGGATGGATGAATTTTACAAAGTATATTTCAGAAAAGATGACGATTTAAAAACTATATCACAATTGTCACAATTTATTGCATTTTGTCGTGATTTATTAAATCATCTGTTTCTATTGCACTGTATTACAAATTTAAGGACACGAGAAGTGCCTTCTACGTGCTTCATGATTATCTAATGTTCTTTTTTTAACGTTTATTGATGAATTTAAACGAACGTCATTTTCCTGAGAACGTTTTATATCTATAATGAAACCAAGTAATAAAGCCCTAATGAGCGCCTCGATATGACTATCAAAATATTTGTACATATTGTGCAACTAAAAAAAAAATAGAAAACAGTTTATTACTATATAAAGACTGTTCATCAACTTTGGTAATCTAGAACATCGGGTTGGAGCCATTTGTTACTAATTACAATTGATAATTATGGTCCAATACCTGTTGTGCAATTTCCTTCGCAAACCTCTGAAATAAATTTATAGTACATTCCGACAACGATCCATGATCTTAACTTGCAAACAGTAAAGAATAATTTCCTAAATGAAGTGTAATCCAGACAAAACGCACTTCTTGAACGAAACACTAGACTTAAGTTATGCCACTGCAGTAGAAAAAGCCAGTTTATCAATCTAAATTATATGTTGAGGAAGTAAAATGAAACTAAAACGGT